TTTTTTAATGTATTTTTTGTTATATTTCAGGTTGTAAGGAAATGTCTACATACATACATACACCCGTTGCGTAATATAAAGTCGTCACATATTAACAATCGTAGTTTTTGTTGACAGTGCTAGGCATTTTCTTCCATATCAACGACTGAGTGGAAGATCGACCTATCTCGGCAGACAGTTCGAAAACGCCCTAACTCAGAAAACTTTTCAAAACGGCCTATTTTAGAATTTATTACAAGCACGCTGCCGATTCTTAAATATCCTACCTCGACATATTTTCAATATACTTTCAGCTGAGATAGGGCGTTTTTGAACCAAATTCTAAGATAGGGCGTTCTTCAATCGAATTCTGAATTTGGGAGTTCTTGAAAAGTTTTTTTGAGGTATGGCGTTTTCAAACCGACTGCCGAGATAGGTCGGTCTTCCACTCAGCCGTCGATATAAAACCACTTAGAACATAAGTACTTTGTATGCAACGGAGTGTATATTCATCATATTCAAATAAATTTCATGTCATTGTAATTTTCCTTTTTTATTAACAAAACAGGAATTCATGTACAATACATTATATATTGAATATTAATTAAAGTACTTACACTTAGTAGAAGCTAAAAATTACAAAAATGTGTTTCATCTAAAATGGTGCTCATAAATTTTTTTTAATATATATACGAAACTCACATATTGACAAAATTTCACTATCTACATATTTGTAGATAATTAAATTTTTAAGAAAGTTTGTTGATTTCTTTTTTTAATGTACAAAGATTTATGGCCTTATTCATAAAAAATAAAGTAGTTTTACAAAAGGTTTATAAATTGAAAAATGTATGAAAACGTCAATTTATAAAGCTCTTTAAACCTACTTTATTTTTTATGAATAAGGCCATTAAACTTTGCATTCATATGGCTTTTGTTAAAGAATAAAATATACTCTCATAAAAAAAGGTAAAATCTTGTCAATATGTGAGTATACGGCACTCATGATAAGCACTGCATATGAGATCATTACTACTAAAAAAAGATTAAATAATATAAATACTGGTTCTAAGTTATTTATGAGCACCCAAAAAATATATAAATAACTTCGGCGTACTATATCTATATCAATATAATAATTTTCAGAAAATCCATATTTATGGTTCGACTTAGTTCAATTTTAATAAGCCAGCTACCTGAGTAAGCATTAATATTGGCAACATAGTTCAGATGTTACATCTATTTTTGACAGACACCAGATTGACACCACCAGGTTGAATTTTGATAATCTTTGTACGAAGTTTTAAATGTGGACTTATGTGCCGCTGGATAGGTAAAGTGCTAAACTTTTATAAATAAAATAAAAATAGCCAAAACTAGTCAAAGTGTCACTTGACTGAATCAACTGTCAGAAGGGTATATCGAAAAGTAGTAAGCTACGCAGACGCAGTCGCGGGTATCAGTTAGTTTTTCTGTAACAGTATAGCTCATTATATAACAAAAAACCATGAAAATCAAAATTTTTAACTAATTCAAAAATTCTAGCGGCATATTTGTAGTCAAAATAATGTCTACTCCGAAGTTAGTTGCAGCTTTTTGACATTATTTTCAAGGAAATATCTGTCGAAAAAGCTGCAACTAACTTTATAGTCGACTTTATGTTGCCTACGAATATGCCCCAAAAAAATTTTATAAACTTTTCATACCAATTATAAACATTGTAATTAAAATTTCTAGAAAGGGTTTTTGTAAATTGCAACTTTGAAAGAAAAAGCAGTATAAAACTTCTGCTCTCAATATAAGCAGCGGCAGAACACCACATCTAATATGAAATTATAACTTTTAGAAATAGATATAGATTAAAGCAGTTGACTAGAACTTCTATGTTTCTTATAATCAATTTCTATTTGCAAAAGTTCTAATTTCATCTGAGCTTCTTTTACTTCGAGTGTATGCTTTTCTTTCGCCATTGCATGCTTGTCTACCGCCCTTTTGTTTTCTTCCTCCCAAAACAAATGATAGGAATCGGGAATGGTCTTATTTTTTTTCTGCTCTGATTTGACCTCCAGCTTATTAGCTTTTTTCGTCCGCAAACTAGTTGGATTCCATGAGCTCCAATCAAGTGTATTTTCCTGAAACAGTTTATATACACATATGTATATTAGGTAAAATTAATGGAAATACACTATAATATTATATTACAATCTCTGCACCCTCAATAATCTCCACATCATTCGCTGTTTGACTTGGCATAGAGTCGTCCAAAGATTGTTGTTGTAGAAACCGTGCTTTTCCAAGCGAGGGGTTGAGGCGTATATCAATGTTTTGGTCTTTGATCGGGCTTTCCTTGATTGTTTCGGTAGCGCAGATCCCCATTAATATCGTCCACATATTCGATTTCTTGAAAGGCTGAAATCATATACACATGTAATGAATATACTAGGGCTGAATGGGGGATATTGTGGAGATGGTCTTGGATTTGCATTTGCAAAATATGTGAGTTACGCGGTTTTGCAGACGATACGC